GGCATTTTTTCTGTGCCATGCAAACCGTTAGGGGAGAAAATAAAATCTAGGCACAGAGAAAAACAACAAAAGAAGCATCAATCTGGGTTCATTTGCAGATGTGAACAAACCTAATATAGGAAGCAGGCCAGACGCTCATGAAATTGGCAAGCAGTGCCATGGCAGAGTAATCTAGTGAGAGTTACTTGCACAAAACTACCCTCTTCCCATATGCTAAGCCTGTATTTTAGGACAGCCACATTTGCCAAAAAGGAAGGACAGCACCACCAAAAAAAGATGGTGAAAGAGAACACAGATTTAGGGACGTGGGTGGCGCTGTGGGTAAAAGCCTCAGCGCCTAGGGCTTGCCGATCGAAAGGTCAGCGGTTCGAATCCCCGCGGCGGGGTGCGCTCCCGCTGCTCGGTCCCAGCGCCTGCCAACCTAGCAGTTCGAAAGCACCCCCGGGTGCAAGTAGATAAATAGGGACCGCTTACTGGCGGGAAGGTAAATGGCGTTTCCGTGTGCTGCGCTGGCTCACCAGATGCAGCTTTGTCACGCTGGCCACGTGACCCAGAAGTGTCTCCAGACAGCGCTGGCCCCCGGCCTCTTGAGTGAGATGGGCGCACAACCCTAGAGTCTGTCAAGACTGGCCCGTACGGGCAGGGGTACCTTTACCTTTACCTTTACCCTCTTCCCATATGCTAAGCCTGTATTTTAGGACAGCCACATTTGCCAAAAAGGAAGAACAGCACCACCAAAAAAAGAGGGTGAAAGAGAACACAGATTTGCATAGAATTTGCATATTATATGTATAGATGCTGATTTAGAAGAAATGCTGTCATTTAGATGGAACTACAATACATCTTCTCACCATATTGAGGAAGATTTTTGACTAGTTGACTGTGTACCTCCTGTCAAGGTGCTAACTCTTGTTGAGTAACATCAATCTTCTTACTGGCCTTTATTTTTAAACTGAACTTGGACCAAGCAACCCTTCAAATGAGGGCAGATGTACATCCTAGTATATCTACACTGCATATTTCAAACGCTTCTTTGTGTTCATGTTTTATTATTTTCACCAACATGTATGAAGTTTTACATAGATATAAATCTAAACAAATTTGAAATAAAAAACATTCAAAATCTCAGGAATAAATAAAAATGGATGTCAGCTAGAAGCTACTGGACAAAATTTATTATCAAAACCATTGCATTCTTTATTTTCTAGGGAGTTATAAACATTTATATGTTCTGGGCCTTGGTGGGGAGGGGGGAATGAAGTCATACCTGGTACGATTATTATTAATGCATCCTTTTTAGTCACAGTAAAATTCTTAGGTACACTTAGGTCCTGAAAGGTGATCTTTGGAAACAAAAACAAAATCCCACCTTGTATCCTCCCCCCCCCTTTGTAATTGTTATGTATTGGAAATCAATAAAACTGTATATATGTATTTACATTTACATTTTACATTTATTGAATTTACATACCACTCTATACCTGGAGATCTCAGGGCGGTTCACAGAACCAAACTATATGTAAAAAAAACTACATGTAGTTTTTAAAAAAGTGATATTTGGGTACCTTTTAAACCTGCTTGCATATAGGCAGTCCAATTGTCAACAACCTGATGAATGCTAGGTCAGTTCCCTCTCAAGTTTGACATGTTCCGTGCAAGAGAGTCAAGCTATGTCCAGACAGGACTTTGAGTTTCTAATAACTAGAGTGCATTTCTTCTTTCAGTTATTATTTGCCTGGAACAGAATTTATACCAGGACTGGATTTTTGCACCATAACTTACAAATTCCAGATTTATCAAGATCATTGTGCTGAGGAAGCTGTCCATGCATGGCACTTGCATGCTTCCCCTGTAAAGAGACCCCTGACTGATAGGTCCAGTCATGGATGACTATGGAGTTGCGGTGCTCATCTCACTTTATTGGCCGAGGGAGCCGACGTACAGCTTCCGGGTCATGTGGCCAGCATGACTAAGCCACTCCTGGCGAACCAGAGCAGCACACGGAAACGCTGTTTACCTTCCTGCCAGAGTGGTACCTATTTATCTACTTGCACTTGATGTGCTTTTGAACTGCTAGGTGGGCAGGAGCAGGGACCGAACAACGGGAGTTCACCCCGTCGTGGGGATTCGAACTGCCAACCTTCTGATTGGCAAGCCCTAGGCTCTGTGGTTTAACCCACAGCGCCACCCACGTATATAGTGCATATATAGTGAGAGGTAAATTTTAGGTTTGGGGGCAATTATTATTATTATTATTATTATTATTATTATTTATTCAACTTATACACCGCCCTATACCTGGAGGTCTTAATTTTGATTGAGAAAACGGCACAAATGAGCTTTATATGCATCAGGTTCTTCTGCAGCTTTATTTTTAAAAATTTAAAGACCCCAAAACATGGGCTATGTGATCACAGATCTTTCACATCATGTTTACTTTTACCTTGATAGGAACTCACATCTGAACTCGCTTTGAACCTTCAAATGATTTCAAGGATAATACAGCCCCAACGCCTGTCCTTAGCCTACGTCAATAGTAATGGAAGAAGTACAGAAATTCTGATTTATGCTGTCTGGATCAATTGTTCTCAGCTCGAGGGTAACTTCAGATATGATGCAAAAATTAGGCTAGAGGATACATGAGTAACTAACGTTTCCTCTTTTGGGAGGGCTCTTTTAGGTGTGACATCTGTAGTGGATTATGGCACATATCTACCTAAAGAAATATATGTGGCTGTGTACACACTAGCCAGGTTTGTAACACCATTTATTTCATTCCATTTTTATTTTTGCTGAGTCTGGAATTGCTTATGCTTGTCCTCAACATGTTGCATTCAATCTAGATTGATGTTAGATTGTACTATCTACAAGGGTAGCTGTGGTTACTTGGTGTGCATTTGAAACCTGCCCCTTGATTGAATGATCCATGCCTTTTCGTCTCTGCACATGCCCTGAGTGAATGAAGGCGGCCATCTTGGTATCCGCCCACCCACAGCATTGTTGCAGTCTGAACCCACATACATGTTCAAGCACTCATATACACACTGCTGAGAGGTTTAGGGTCTTTGGCTGGAGTTATGAAGTGTGCCTGTTATGAATATGCGGTAACCCTAAACCTTATGCCAAAAGAACTTTTCACACCAAAGGAATAAAAAAAGCTTGGCTTGTTATATGAAATACAAGAGACAGAATATATAAATGTTTCTTCAGACTGCACAATTACAGTTTAAGGAGGCAGCAACTCCTACAACACACACACACACACCCTTGATCTGAAGGGTGAAAGATTACCTATGCTGAAGAGCCTACAGAAATGTGGGTGTGGCAATTTTGCCAGCAGCCCCCCCCCCCGCTAAGAGCAAGACATGAGAAGGAAGAATATATCTGCCCTTAAAGTGAAGCAGGTGTGTGTGCTGTTACCTTGGAGCTAGGATTGTTAGCTAACTACTGGGAATGTTGGGGTTCTTAGCTCATGCCTCCAAGGGGGAAGGTACGGGCTTTGAGACGAGCAATTGCTGCCTCCCCCCCCCCAATTGCTGCCCCCCCCATTTCCTGCGTGTTTCTCACCTTGCTCATCCTAGTGAGAAATGGCTAAAAACTGTCTGCCATCCTGTTTGCTTCTCACTCTCTGTGTTTTGCTTAACAAAAGGGCGGAAGAAGTGTGATAGCGAGCAGTTAACTGAACCTGGCCATCTCTTTGTCTGCCTCCTGTACCACCATTAGCTCGAAGGTCTTGTCAGGAGTTTGAACTGCTAGCAACTGGATTTGCATGTATTGACCTTCTCAAGGTGTGAAGTGTTTTCCAGAGAGGAGTCCAGTACCAGGTTTGTACCAAGTTAGGATGGAGAACTGCATGTCATGATTAAATTATGTCAATCTTATTCTCATGCCATGATCTACAGAGATAAACCATGTCGTAAGTTCAGATTCACATACAGTGGTACCTCGAGTTAAGTACTTAATTCGTTCCGGAGCTCCGTTCTTAACCTGAAGCTGTTCTTAACCTGAAGCACCACTTTAGCTAGTGGGGGCCTCCTGCTGCCGCCACACTGCCGGAGCACGATTTCTGTTCTTATCCTGAAGCAAAGTTCTTAACCTGAAGCACTATTTCTGGGTTAGTGGAGTCTGTAACCTGAAGCATATGTAACCTGAAGCGTATGTAACCCGAGGTACCACTGTACTTCGGTTCACAATGTCATTGGGCAGGTGTGGATACGCCCCCCCAGCACCTCCAATGCAATGTTTTCAAATGGACACACTGTAGGGTAATGCAAACTCAATGCAATGGAATCAGTTTTTAATTTCAGAATGAAGCTAGTTGCTCAAGAAGCCTTTTCAGAGAGTCTAGATCAGGCATTCCCAAACTTGGCCCTCCAGCTGCTTTGGGACTACAACTCCCATCATCCCTAGCTAACAGGACCAGTGGTCAGGGATGATGGGAACTGTAGTCTCAAAACAGCTGGGAGGCCAAGTTTGGGGATGCCTGGTCTAGATTGTGTGTGAACCACATGGGGGAGGGTACTCAGTATCCATCGATTCTAGAATAACATGTGTGAGAGGTACCCACTTCTGGAGCATGCACATTTCACCATGGGTTTGATGCGCTGATGTTCACTTTGGATTTTAGCCTCCACAGAGCCCCAAAGTAGAAATGATGGGAAAGTGGCCTCCCTCTCCCCTTGCTCACTTCTGTGAAATGTGCAAGCAGCTCTTAGCAGAACATTTAAAATAAAATTATATGCTCTTATGTCTTTTGCGGAAGTGAATGGATCGGGATTACTGGCAAACCTACAGAGAAATGTCGTTCTTTGTTTTAACTCTCTACCTTGTGCTGTCAATTCACAAGGAAAAATATATATATTAAAACGGACGTACTTCTAAAGCCTCAGTTATTCCGGATCTTTTGTATAGACTTTAGGTCTTTGAGGGCAGCTTCTCTCCTCCTTGCTAAGCATGAAGAATTGCAGACAATTCCCAGCACAGCTGCTCCAGTAAGGCTTCCCTGTGATGAGTAAAAGACATTTGGAGCCTCCACTAATTGCTGCTGGTAACTGCTTACTCATAAGTAGTAGCCTTCTCCCCTCCCCTTTTTTGCCTAGTCACTTTTGTTTCAAGATGGGTGTGACTTTTGATTCCGCTCCCCTCCCTGTTGTGTCACTCCTTCAGTTACTTTGAATTGGAATAAAAACTGCAGCAAACTTCCGACGCTGCCTCTCCGTGCAGACTTAACAAGACCTGGGACCTTTTTTCTCCTTCCTTTTGCTTCCTGCCCCTCCTTTGTGCAGGCAGGGAGAGAGGAGCTCCTTGACTTTTACACATTAACTCGAAGAGAGGAAACAATGGCCAAGATCTGGTTGGGTGCAGCTGTTGGATTTTACTTGTTGCAGCTTTCTTTAGCCCGGATAGGTAAGTGGCTTATGAATGAAATCCCTTATACTAGCCGATGAGCGTATGAGATACTTCGGAGAGCAAAAACTTGCTCCGGCTTGCCAGATGGACTGTTCAACTTCATTGACATTTTACTGTGCGTTTCCCGCGTGACAAAGACACTGAAAGGGAACCTGTGAAATTTTTATTGCAAGAGGGATGCATGGGTGTGTTTTGTGTGGAAGGCAGGATAGAGAAGTATAGAAGGTTCTTTAAGCTTGAAACACTGAGGTTTAAAGCTAACAATGTTTGCTGGACAGAGAAATGAGCTTCTGCACATCTGGTCCATATTCAGGCTTGCAAACCACAGTTATGTATTTATTTTTGCTCCGTTCCTTCTGTGAAGTAGACATCGGAGGGAGGGAGGGGAAGGAAACCTTACAATAGCTGTATTCTTGAGCTTGCAGGAGAAGCAAGCGCTTGCATGCTTGCAAGATGCAGAAGCCATAACGACTTCTCTTCTCCATGCTGGGAATGAAATTTGGAGAGTTTTCAGGGCAGAAAGTGAAAAGTGCTCGCTGGCTTTCAGAACTTTTAATTTGAGCATGACTAGTGAGGAGGTTTAGAAGCAAACTTTAAGCCAGTCTGGCAGGAATGGGCAGCTCATTTCCCTCCTTGCCCCCCAGCTAGCTTTCCGAAGTCTGCCTGAATAATAAAACGAAATGCTTGTTTGGCAATGAAAGTGCTCATACATTTAAGAAAATCACATGCCCCGAATGACAAAATAAGTCTTTAAAAGTTTGATGTGATACAGAACCACAAGTATTTGCGAAGAAATAACTGTGCCTTCAACAGAGACCCATTGTAATAGAAATTGCCTTGAGCTGTTTTGAAGGGAATCTATTATCCTTATCCACCCCCCTCCCCAGATCATTGGAAGCTTACAAAATACTTTTTAAAAAAGAGGCTTTGGCGCCTTAGTGTTTTTAATACTTATTGAGCATAAAAAAGTAAATTGGATAATAGGTTGCTCTACCGATTCCTAAATGGGTGTGTCAGAGTGCACGGTTCTAACCACGTTTTCGGAATTTCCAGAATTTTTTTATTTTTTTGCAGCACTGCTTTCAGAAATACTTCTTCGATGATCAGGGTTTTACTTTAACACACACACACACACACACACACACACACACGTTACCAGGTACCCAAGTATGCACTTTTCAAACATAAGGAGGTGTTCTTGGTTTGTGATATATGAGGTGTGACTAACATTTTGGATTAGATATAACATGTGTATGTACATATGTATACTTTAGAATGGCTATGTTTCTTATTTAGTTATTCCTTGCTCAGCTAATATTCCCTTTTATGAACTGCCAAACCTTCTATAAATAAGCGCAGCCTGCAATTACTCTGGGTTGTGTTGCATTTTAGCTGTAGAAAAGAGAGAAGGATCTCCCCTTCCCATCTAATCCTCGGTGTGGTTAGGAAAAAACATGTCAAGCCGCATGTATGTCTTGCAGGAGAGTTTCTTTAAGGGTTTAGCAAGGTATTAGATTATAGCTACATTATATTTTGGTTGGTATGTGGTACATTCCAGGCAAGCTTTATAGTGACAAATGGCTTTGCAACCGCACTTGGTTCCCTCCACCAGCACCACCCTGAGATGGAGATGGGCAATACAGTAGTTTGTTTTTTTCAGTGGGAGGATTTTATAGGAGTAGAAGCAATGAAAACAGTTGGGGAGGCAGACAATGCATGGCATGTAACGTCTCAAACTGTTTTCAGCTCTCTTCAAAAAAGAAAGAACTGTATCTTCCTATCTCGGTATATCTGAATACAGACAATTCTACAGGACTAGATGGAATTCTCTTTAGCGTTTCTGTCGCTTTTCTGACAGGTCCTGTAGTGGGATATCGGATTCTAGTCCACAGCCGGAGACATGCTCAGCTATAAAGCCTTGTGGATGTCCTGGGGCCCACTACTGTCTCTTAGTTTAACCTGTAGCTTGCCAAATTCTTCTTGGATAATACCGTATATGCTGCCATGAGATTTGTGAAACAGAAGCAGGATTAGGATGTGACAAATGAGTTACAAAGTACTTTATAGTCCTCGTTACCTTGTACTGATTCAGACCATTTGTCCAGCTAGGTCAGTATTGTCTAGAATGAGTGACAATGACTCTTGCATTTTCCAGCTCCGACTGAAGACATCAAAGCTTGGAAAGCTTTGACTTTCCCCCTTAAAATAGCTATACAATTATTTCCATTTTGCTGAGGCCAAGTGGAGACTTAGTCACTGAGCAGCCATCCTGATTTGTTTGCAAGGAGATTAGATGACACTTGCTTTGTAATGAGCATTCCTTCCGATTTGTTTGCAGAGAAGTTAGATGATGGCTGCATCAAAACAAATGTTATCCCACCTTTTCCAGGGCATTTCCCCATCACTTTCCTTATTGCATAAGGTCCGGTCTTTTGGGAGAACAGGTTTGTTGCACAAGGGGCTATCCTTTTAACAACCCGAGTTTGTGTGTATGTGACTGAAATAATGACAGTCTGTAAGTACCCTAAGAAACGGCAGATTGCACAAAGCCACCCATTCAAGTAATTTAAACCCAGATCTCCCAGTTCCCAGCTGCCAAAGGCTACAGATCCAAATTGCCTCTCATTCCTATGCCTGGGGCAATTGACTCTTCAATAGTGCAATCTATTTAATCTAGAACCTTTCTGATACTCAGTTTATAACCTCCTGGAAGTTGCTGCAGCATGGCTCCTCAACCACTACTCCTGGAAACATTTGATGGAACCAGATCTGGGTCGGCAGAGCTAGTGACACATCATTGCTTCCCATATCAATGTTTCTGTACCATGAGGCATGGATAGGAACCATGTGCTGGCCTTGGCTTCTTGAATTCCTTCCTTCAAATGTTAGGCGCAGCATGGGAGTGGTTGTGCCTCTATCGGTAGTGTATAGGTTGGGCCTTGCAATGAAAGTGAAAAGCAGCCTCATTTATTTGGGTGTATCCAGATATCTCCAGGGTTTGGTAATAGAAGACTTGGGAGTGCCAAGAAATAGCAAGGGACACATAGAAAGGTGAAGTCCTTATGCTGAAGAGGCAGTCTAAGTAAGGTGAGGTGATGAAACCAGAAACGTTACCTATAGAAGAGAATGGGATTCTGTCTACTGCTCTTAAAGAGGGTTCTGTTTTTCTGCCTTCTGAACAGGATGACTGTCAAACTGTATTTTATACGGAATGCCCTTTATTCACACTTGTAGTGAATCTAATATCCTTTCTTTATGCTGGTTTTCATGTGCTGTTATTTTGGCCATTTCACGAACAGACTAAGGTAATTAGGTGTATTAAGTGATATGCCTGAGCTGGAACTTCGCAAAACCACACTGTCAGGTCTGTGTTTCCATTTGGATTCTCATGTGTCCATTTCTGGGCCCAGTTCAGAATTCTGGTTTTGATCTTTAAAGTCTTTATTGGTGTGGGACCAAAGTTCCTGGAAGATTGCCTTTGTCCACATGTACGTACTCTCACCTTAAGAGCTTCTTCCCAGTTCCTTCCTTTGGTTCACCCACCAGGTGAGGTCCTACTGAGACAAGGGGCATCTCAGTGGTGGTAGCCAGGATACGGAATCCCTTTGTCCCAGAGAAAGCCCAGTGCCTACCTTGATGCCATTTTGGTGCCAAGCAAAAATTTTATTGTTTTCCTAGGGTTTTAAATCATTTTGCTTCTGCTTCTTGTTCTTATACTGCTTTTATATGCTTTATTGTTGGCCTGCCTTCTTGTGCATTTGAATTTTTTTCTTGTCGTAAGCTGCCCAGAAGAACTTGTTGACACATACCCAGCTAAAAGAAATAGTACATGAATGTTGTTGGAGAACAGTTATAGATTTCCCCCTCCCTTATAGGCATTGTTGTATTTTGCGGGGGCCAGGGTTGAGAGACTTGAGAGTATTTAAGGTACCTTTGGGAATTTCCTCCCATTAAATATTAGGCTCCTTCTCTGCTGTCTCTTTTTGTGCCTACTGAAAGCCTGCCTCTTCCAACAAGTGTTTTTTTATGTAGAGATCTCTTATAGTCTGCATCTGTATTGGGATTTTTCAGATGATTTATTGTTTGTGGGTTTGCCATCCTGGGCTTCTTTGTGAGGAAGGGCAGGGTATAAAATAAATAAATGTCTATGAAAAGCTTCCTGCATGCTGGGGATGCCCCAGATATGATAATAACATGACCTGCTACCACAAAATGTCAAAGTTGTATTCTGGTTTTCGCAACTGGCCGAGGGAATAATCCTAGCAGCATGAATGAGAGTGCAGCAAAAATGCAATCCAAGCAAGAAGTGTGAGGTCATTACAGCTGCAGTTGTGGATTCCTGGATCTGCTTGAGAGAGGGACTGGAAGATGATACTTTCTGGAAGCAAGAGGGGTAGAGGGGGGGGGAGGAGCAGCAAAGGAAGAATTGAAGATGGTTACAACACAGTCCCAAGCAATGCTGGAGTGGGTTTAGTCATGCTGGCCACATGACCTGGAAAGTTGTCTGTGGACAAGCGCAGGCTCTTTTGGCATGAAGTGAGATGAGCATCACAATCCCATAGTCGCCTTTGACTGGATCCAGGGGTCCCTTACCTTTTGCACCAAAGTTATGGTTAAATAAATTTTAAATTGCAAACCAACTAATAAAAAACCCTTATGCCTCATTTGAAAATTAAAGGGTCCCTTCTGGCTGTATCATGAGAGCGATCATAATATCACAAAAGTTAAAAACACTGGAACCAAAACCAAAAACCTTACCGAAAATTAAAGCCTGAAATATTTCAAAGCCTTTCTTTGTTTATGTTACCCCGCCCTTTTATTGTAATGACAAAATGGCTGCAGTTCAGCAAATAAATCACAACATGGAAATAATCTGCTTTTGTTAGGAAACAATACCTTTCAGGTTGAACCTGCGGTCTGAGCTATTAAATAACAAGCGTCAGCAAAATTGGCAAAACTGGAGGGAAGGATGGGAAGGACAGACGTATCTTAATGAG